ATATATATATTAATATATATTAATGCTCACATATATGATGTAATATATTTAAAAAAATAATTTTTGATAAAATAAAATTTATAATATACGTATTTATACCTTTTGTGCTTTCTACTTAATTATTGTATACGTTGATTAAAAAAATTAAAATAGTAAAAGATCATAAGATTGTATACATTAATTAAAAAAATAAAAGAGAAAAGATTGGAATATTTATGTTCTATTTATAATTTTTATTATAAAATATGTTTTAAAATAAATTATCATCTCAAAATTTATATTAGATATTAAAAACATCTTTATATCATAAATAAATTAAACTTGATTTTATAAAATTTAACATATTTATTTTTATATTTTTATTAGTATTAAATTATTATAAAATAGGTCTTTAAAATTGTAGTTCTAATCAAACATTTAAAAAATATTTATGACAGATAAGAAAGTAATTCATATTTAGAACATGAATTTTTAAAGAAGGTTAAGTCCAAACCTACTAAATTATAATATAACCTTATCTGACCTAGTTTATTTTCATCCTTAATCATAATTGTAGATATAAAAATTTGTAAAAAATAATTATAATATATATTTATATTTATAAAAGTTATATGTAAATTTTAGAATACTACAAATATATGAATAAATATTATTGCCTTATATTTATAAAAGTTATATGTAAATTTTAGAATACTACAAATATATGAATAAATATTATTGCCTCCATTATCTAAGATTTCTGGATCTGTCACTGCCAACAGCCAAATCTTGTCATTGTTTTGACATGGTCTGACACCAATTGCATCTATCAAAACTCCTTATTCAAAGTGACTCACCTTGTCCTTTGCCTTTTCCACCTCGGTCCTGCAATACATTGATGGTCATACTCCTCCTCCTCTTAGTTGTCAAAGGAAAATGCTTCTTAGAACAACAATAGGTGGATGGTTTTCCTTGGCCTACGGTAGAGGAGGATGCATGGACCGTATTTGAGTCCATCATTATACATCTCATGATAAGCTCTATTATAGACACATTTCTAATCAATAACATGTTAGTGACAACAACATTGACATGAAAAAGGTTTCAAGCTAGTGGGTTGTTACAGGAAAAAAGGGATTATGGTGTAGGAGGAGCTATATAGCGGTAGTGAAGACTCTAACACTGAGAATGGTTATGGAGTGTAGAGGAGTTGAGTTGATTTGAAAGAGAGAAAAAATGGTGTGAGAGTTGCACCATAATAGTTTGAATATGAGATTAATCTTAAGGTTAAAATTATGATTCACCCCAAACTAATTGAGAAAATGGTTCATCCTAGCCATAGCCTTATTTTAATATCCAATTTGTTGATGACTTTATCACTTTTATCACTCACAAAATAATATATATTTTTATTAATGATTGATCTATTAGAAAATGTACTAACATCTCTACTAGTTAAAATCTGAAATCAAACATGTTTTCTCTTGTAATTTTTTATATCTTTCCTTACATATTTGTGCTAAGGATAGATAGGTGATTTGTAATCCTACTATAAGTCTTCAAAGAAATTGGTAATTGACTTTGTTTTACAAGAAGTCATATCTTATCATAATCTAAATTTTTATGAAAAAAAAATACAACAACTAAGTATTCATTACTTTAACTATTACTAGTATAATTTTTTACCAACAACTATATGGTGATGAGAAGTTATTTATTAATTATTCTTAAATTTGTGATAGTATAGTACTAAAATAATTAAAAATAATATACTAATTAAGGTTATAGTCTGAAATACGTCATAAAAAAAATTATATATATATATATATATATATATATATATTTTTTTTTTTGTGATAACCCTAATGAAATGTAATATTTCCTTCATATATCAATCAAATTGCTGTCAACAGGTCACTTTGTATGTTTATAGTTAATAATAATTATTTCCTCATTTTCACAATAACTACGGTTTTAACAAATAAAAAATATTATAAAATAAATAATGTTCTTAGTTTTTAATATAATATCAATTATATTTTTTTTATTTATTCTTTTATAAATTATTTAATCACTACAATTAAAAATAACATATTTTTTGAGAGATTGGACTATTTTAATAAATTTGTATAAAAAATAAAATATTCATTATTATCATCTATAATTATGTAAAAATCTTAAAATATAATCGTAGAATATAAAGAATAATTTATTAATCACTAATTAATAAACTCATTTCTCCATTCATTATATGACATTATCCACTGTCTTAAATTAGCTGTCATAATTATACATATAACTTAAAGTGGTTATCGAGATTGATTGATTCCTTATTAATCAACCATTAATGCTTCAAGTATTAAGTCATAATCAATATCTATTAAGGCAGTATCGTATGACATTAGGTATTTAATAACATTAATTGCGAAAATTTCTTGGTTAAGTTTATTTAATAATCATACTTATTCATGATTTATATATGTAATTTAATAAATAAATTTTATTTAATATATATTAGTTTATCCAAATAAAAATTTTAGGGTCAAGAACAAGATAAATTAAATTTTGAAAAACCTGTCTCTTATAGTGTATAACAAAAAGAGTCGTGACATTACTTAAAAGAATGAATTGAAAAAATAAATAGGACAATATTTATGAAAAAAAAATGCAATGTGTTTGAGTGATTTTATGATAAAAGAAAGGAAGGATGCAGATTGGTTATTTGATCCCCAACAGAATGATGGCTTATCTTCCATTTTGAGACATTTATATTTTCTCGGCTCATTTCTTCTGTCACGCACTGTGAAAAACAGCCCAACCTCTCTTTTTCATCTTCCTATTTCAGACTCATGCTCACTCAGGGACCCATTCTCTGTACGGGCCTAGGCCCATAATACATTATATTAATCAATATTTTTATTAATTAAAACTAAAATCATAATAATAAATAAAATACAAGGCTTACTAATTTCTATGAATCTTAATCAAATTCAACTAATAATAAAAAGTGTGAGTGTGAGACTCTGTATTTTTAAGTGTTTTCCAACTATTAATTAACATAAAATAAATATCTAATTGATCCATGGTTAAGAAACATGCACGTACGCTGCATATCTAAAACACTATCCTTTTTCTACCTCTCATCCCCCAACATACACCCGTAGGAAGAAAAAAAATTATAATCGTGATTCTTTCAAATCAATCGGCCAGGCTGAGTTTACATTTGATTTTAGTGTAATTAAATTCGAAACAAAGTTTAACAAATTGAATATGATGTTAAAATTTGAAAACAATACTTTGAAAGAAAAAATATTTTTAAAAAAGTATAATTCAAAAATTGATATATGATGCAAGCAAACTTGACAAGTCCCACTAGAAATATTCCACAATGTTAGTAGTGATTAACTCTAATTTTATATGAATTTGTGTCTTGTTATAATCTAATTTTCAATTGTAAAAAAAAAAAAAAAAAAAAAACAGCTTTAGAATTTTTTACCAGACACTTTTGATTTTTGATTTTTAGTTTTAAAATGATAATTATTTTTTTTAATAAAAAAGTAAATTCTTTTGGATTGAAGGAGTATTCAAAAGTAACTTTGTCGATAATTTGTTAAGAATACGTTTGGAAGTAAAGTTCTAAAAGAAAAGATAGTTTATTTTTAAATTAAAAGAACATATGATATTTATACAAATGAATAAAATATTAAATTTATAATAATATATCTATTATTTTATTTATTTAATTTTAAAAATCATTAAATAAGAGAATATTTATTAGAAACAAAAAATTTTCCTCCTTGTATTTTTTTTAGGATTGACAAATACCTAACCAACTAGTAAAAGTGAATTAGAAAATATAACATGCCTTATTTAGAGATGGACATGCAAGTTGACCCACCATAAAATGACCCGTTGATAGGTTAATCTATTAAAATCCACCCAAATACATAAATAAAATTAATCTTAATACTCCAATATTAACTTTTTGAGGTGAATAAGTGTGTGAGCTAAATATACCAACATTTTGTAAGTGTATCTCACAATGTGTGTGTGAGAGTCACACAAATAGATTATCTCACCATTTTTGTTGGGTTAATCAAGTTGAAATCACAATTTTTTCTATTCAAAATATAAGCATGTGTTAAGGAATAGGAAGAGTATTTCGTTGTTTTTGGTAGGTTGATCAAGTTGACACCACAATTTTCTATTGAAGATATACTTATTTGTGTGTGAAAATAGATGATGAATGTAAGCAAAATACTCTCTATTATTTGTCAAAATTGCAAATTACAAAATCATAAAAAAAATGTTCCTTAAATAACAAATTTTTTAATTTACAATAACTTTCAACTAATAAGAGAGAATATGTTGAAAAGAATGTGTTAGAGAATATTTCATCATTTTTGTTAGTATATTTTGGTTGACAAGTTGACTCCTAATTTTCTTTCAAAATTTTGGAAACACTCATTTGAACACATTTATCATTGGCAAAAATTTTGTATTTAATAACTTTTATTCATAATTTTATATTTTTCAATAAATTTAAACTAATATTAGAGAGTGTGTTGTGAAGAGTGTTGCTAACTTCCTATAACTCCTCTCTCTCCCTCTCTCTCTATATATATTATAAGTTTTACACACTTAAAATTAATTTTGTTTAATGAAATGTTTTTTTTAAACAATCCCATTCATTAAAATAAAAATTACTCTAACTTTGATCAATTTACGAATAAATTATTTTGTTGTAGTCAAACAAACGTGATTATTAGAGGGAAACAAATAGGCACAGTATGTTGTACATATATTAAGCTTCATGGACCATTTTCATTTAGGGTTTTATTTAGCTTTTTCTTATTAAGAGTCTAAAATCACTTAACAGAATCCGATATTTAACAAATGCTAACTTTGAGAAGTGAGCTAGTTAATTTTTAAAAAGTATATATGTGAGTGATATTTTAAAATATATAAAATTTAAAATAAAAAAAAAACTGGATTGGTGCATGGGATGGAGATGACTTTATAGGTCGTTTAGTATTAAGATTAATAATTAAAGAACAAATGGAAGAGAGAAGAAAAAATAGAATTAAAAACGATGGTGAAACTGAAAGATACGTGAATCATGTAAAAATCTTACTTTATGTACGTAAACTATTAAGCATGTAACAATATCATTTATAAATTATAAATAAATAAACAAAAACATCCTCGTTTCTTAACCACGAATTCATTTTCATTTTGCTTTTTACTTTTTGTCGGTGTGGTGCCATAATATGCATGAATTTTTCTTACAATGGTTGGGTGGACAATTAAAACCGAGAACAGTTTCTTATTACCAATAGGTCATTACAAAGACGTAAATGAAATGAAGTTTAACCATAATTTTCTTATTTTCACCCATTAAGGTGAAAGCGAAGGGATCTGAGGTTTGTCCAAAAAGTGAAAACACTCTTTATCTGTATGAGACAGTGATAGACACCCATTAAAGAAAAACGGTACCGCAACTCAGAAAATAACCTCACTGGATTCTCAATCTTAAAAGGATCAAGTGAAAAGCTGACTGTGTAGTAACAAATTCCTGACATACAAAAGATATCATACTAGATTTCAAACACACGCACGCTCCATCACGTTAATGGTAACTGTCACAGAATAAGAACAAAACAAAATCCTTATTCAAAAGAATAATGCTCACTGTGAGAAATTGTATATAGATCCATCATAGTGCTACAAAAAAGGAACATCGATTTGGAACAAGCCTTATTCTGCAGTAACGCTTCTGTGTTTTATGATAAGAAGAAGAAGCTTGAATCAATCACATATATTAAATATACTGTAAGATAATGCTGATTGCTGAGTTTCCTTTTTCTTTTTTTGGGGGATATATATAAATCAGACACATTTACAATATCAAAAGAAAATTATAGAAGGAAAAAATTTACAGCACACACCTGCGGTCAGAACTCACGACAAATTTCTGACCTATTTCAAATTGGAAATGTCGGCATCTTGGTCCTCTCTTTGGTTGAGTTAACCACGTGTTAAGTACACACACTGCCAGGGCGAGGCTGCTAGAGGGTTTGTCCACAAGCCATTGAAAATCTCTGCAGATCTTTGGTATATATATCCGAAGGTTGAAAATGCTGTATATGTTGCCAACTAGTACTTGATTCGTCTGCTATGAAGCCTGTTTCTGGCTTAACCTCATCACTGTAGATGGAGTGTGTGGTTTGATGCTGCACTGTGGTTCCAAGAAAAAAAGGGGTGTTGAGATACTCAGACCATTTAATGTCTTCTTGTTCTGATTGCAAGGGTACAACATGAGAATGAGCATCTTTATTATTGTTGGCAGATTCTGCCTGCTGCAGCCCCCATGTTATTGTGTTGCTATCAAGGAAGTTGGAGCTGCTTTGTAATTGGATGCTGCAGCTACTGCTACCATTGCTTTTGCTTGCATTGTTGTTGTTACTGAAGGTGCTGCCTTCCCAGTTCTGAACACCATCAGAGGATATGGAAGAAGGGTTGTTGTTTGAGCTAACAGTTTGCTTCACATGTGTTGGGAACACAGAATGGAGCATGGTGGAGTTCAGCTCTGACATGATTTGGGAAGAAGTGGAACTTGGCATGAAGCAAAGTGGGGTGTTGGTAGTAGTGAGTCCCATGTTTGGTCCATAGTTCAGGTGCTGGAAAGGGAAATATCCCATTCCCATCATGTCAGAACTTGTGATGCAGTTCTCATGATAGGTGCCAAACCTGTCTAGGGTAGGTGGGGTGCTGATGCTGTTGTTGCCATTGCTGATCTTGGAGCTGGAAGAAACTTCAAGGGGATAACTCTCCAAAGCCATAGAATTGGTAGTTGTTATTATTGGCTTTGCCTTTGGTGGCTCAACAAGACTCACCTCATTGTTGCCTTTCTGGTTGCTTTTGTTGTCAGCTGTGAGTGCCTTATCCTTGTCATTTCCAACCTCAGAGAGGGGTTGGTGTGTGTTTGGATCAATGCCTCTTTGCCTAAGCTTCTTCTTCAGACAAGAATTCCATAGATTCTTTATCTCATTATCAGTTCTTCCTGGTAACTGAGCTGCAATCTGTGACCACCTGATAACCATCATAACACATGTAAAACCATGAAACCATAACATGTTACTATTGCTGTCATTGTAATCTTTTTTTACTGTAAAAAAAACATATCAAACGATGAAAAAGAACGTGTGTCACCGACGGGCCTTAAGACCTGGTCCACCTTAATAGCTAGAATTCTTCTAGTGACAATCTAAACGGCAAAATCTAAATTAAACTAACAAGAAACAACTTTGAAAACAAAATAGTACCTGTTGCCAAGGACTGCATGGAGTTCAATTATGGAGTTCTCTTCTTGCTGTGAGAATGCTCCTCTCTTCAAATCAGGCCTAAGGTAATTTATCCACCTTAATCTGCAGCTCTTGCCACACCTCTGAAGACCTGAAATATACACAACACACACAAACAAAAAGTTTTAGAGAAGAAAGGTTAATTAAAAAGACTTCTGACATATAGATATGTTTGGATACAAGTTGTTTACACGTGTTTATCAGAACTTCTCTATTGAAAAAAAAAGACTTTATTTTCAGTAGAGAAATTTATCAAAAAAGGTTGATGGCGAAGCATGTAGTATAGTACCAGCTAGTTTTGGAACGGAGCTCCAACATCCATGGCCATGTTTGGTGATGTAATTGAGAAGCTTCTCGTCTTCCTCCGGAGACCAGAGGCCTTTACGAAGCTTCTGCTTGTAGCAGCAAGAGTGTCTCCCCATGTGCACTATGCCTTAAGCGATTTGAAATGTTTGTTGAAAGCGGCAAACAAAGTCTTGTGTCAGAATCAGAACCTACGTGGATTAATGTTAAGAAGGACAGTGCAGGATGTGAATTAATGGGGTGCGTCAGAGCTTAAGAAAATTGCAACTTGCATAGAGAATCGAATAAATAGAAGGAGCCTTATTATAACAAGTGTGGCTTTCAATTTATATCTGACCTTCCAGAACTGGCTTCCCCTCCTTTCTTCACGGGACATTCCACATAATTGCTTGGGCCCCACAACCTCAGCCAACGCTCCTGATGCATTTCCTCTCATCAATCCGATGGATAAGATTCCATCAAAGAGGATCATAAGGTTTGACTTATGTATGTGAATGTCCCACTGGCCAGGCTTTTTCTTTTACCAGAAAATAGTACAGGCATAGTTACCATGGAGAGTTCAATACCATATTTCAACACATGTCATGTAATGAACGGTAAGTTTGTAGCAAATATCTTAAAAAGAGATTCTTATCATTGGTTAATTGTGTAAAAGGGATATATAAATTAAAATCATTTGTTATATTTTACAATTTTTTTGTTGAAAATAAGTATAGAACGAGGGAAAGATGGAGACAGAATAGGTTAAAATGTGTGTTCTTTAGTTTATTGTTAAAAAATGATGCAAGAGCTATGCAAAGAAAATAATGTGTTAATAAGAATTAAAAGAAAGAAAAAACAGTTGTGAAATTTTTATAGGAAAAGTTATCTTCCTCGTAAGACAGTGAATCGAATCCTATAGATAGGTATATGCCAAATTTTGGTGGGTAATTGGTAGCACGCTAGCTAGGACGGTTTTCACTTTTAACAGAGCTTGGTGGTTATGTAATATGTACCATACTGCTTTAGACCATATAGTTGTTATCTCGTGAGTTTGAAACTTTTGGAGTGTGACGAAATGTCTCCATTCCCATATGACTTAGATGAGAGAGAGGAGAAAAGAAGAACCTTGAATGGAATTTCAAGGAGTGGCTTGGCCTAGGCAAAGCCTACTCCAAGATTAGTAATATGAAGTACAAAAAAACCACGAGAATTAAGAAGGGAAAAATTCTTGTGAAAAAGTAAAGGCTTAGAGGGGTAAGGTAAGCAAACAAAGCATGCTGCATTAAATTAACGATAACAGAACTTTCTCTAGGTTCTTTTGTTCCTATTGGTGATAGTACTTCAAGTTTTGAAAACTCTATAGCCCTTTCCTTTTCTTGTCCAACTTTTCCACCAGATACTCTTTGGTAGAAAACTGACCCTCTCTTCTTTTTAGCTTTTAGGGATCATTTTTGAAAAATCATTATCGTTTGGAAAAGTTTCATCATTTGGGTACAAATACAAAATTACCTTTGACATCTGAGCAAGTTAAGGTCGCATTTCTTCCCATAGAAATTGCTGGAATTCAATCAACTATCCCAATGATTCATCATTTTTGCAATTTGAAAATTACGTTTCTGTTTATTAAATGTGGATTTCTTCAATTTCAATATTCGAACTTTATCAAAATTCTGTGTTTGTGTGGAAAGATACTAAAACCGTCGTTTTTCTAGGTAGAGTACGATAACCATAGTTAATAATAGAGACAAAAAAACTCTATGCAAGTGCTACAATCACAATAATATAATTGTCCCTTTAATTTTGCTTATTCAAGCCTGCATTTGTGATAAATATACTAAAGCAAATAAGTTTGGATAATTAATTGATATTTATGAAAGACGGATATATTTTAAGCACGGGTTGTATTTTCTATTGGAAGATCCTTTACATTACGTGTAAACACATCAAATTTGCTGTGTTACTATGTCTGCATCTGTGTCATGTATCTAGTATATTTATACCAATTACTGGTAACCATACTTACATTGTCACATTCAGATGAACAAAATTCTCATTACAGGCTGCAATTGTGAGAAAATTTCGCTAGAACAAAGGGTTTGTGCCACTTCAAAAATATTACATAATGGGAGACCAAAATTAACTATTGCATAAATGATTGTGGGACAATGATAAAATAAAAATGGACCAAAAAGGTAGTCAGTTTAAGTAATACATTATTGATTTCTCTTGAGTAAAGTCTCATAATTTGGACCTTGTCTATAGAAAATTTCTTTCTGAAAGTTACAAGTGGTTTTGATAAAAAGAAAAAAAAAATTGTGTTTGGGAAAAGATGTTGATCAATTTTGGCTAATGGTAGCTTTCCCCCTCTCTAGGGACAAATCACAAAAGGGGAACAGAGGTCCAAAAGGCCCATGAGCTTTCTGACTTTCTCTAGAAAAAGTCAATTTAAAATGGCATTGTAATTCGTGCCATCGATGGAGGATTCCTCACTATGTCATTGAATTCTTGCATGTATGAAAGGTAAATATCTTAACTAAACCTTTCACTCTATAGTTTGTCTGCTTGAGAAATCCAAAAGTTAATAGAAAAAAAAGGAAGATAACACTCGCACCAGTTTGTTAAATCAGGGACTAGTTACTGTGTGCTAACAGAAGGACATGGCCATCAAGTAGTAAAATAATCAATTCATAGACATTGGCTTCAATCATTTCAAAACAGGAAAACTTAACAACAATAAGGGTCGCAGCATGTGTCTAAAGTAATGTAAATTGGAGATAGATCGAAAGGATGACCTACTTTTTTTATTTATATATATATTAAAAAAACAATTGCATTACATATCTTGGAATAGAAGTAATTATAGGACATTGTACACATAATAAATTAAACTTTTCCTTTGTCCTTCTGAGATGGCACAAATTGTACAATATTCTCTGCAAGTTATTCATGGCACAGAAGCATCCAAAATAGTGCTTTGTCTTCAAGTGCTTCATTTTTCTCATGAACACGTTCTAAACCCATAAGGGTATCTTCCTTCACCTCTCAACAATATAAATTTATATAATAGTGATATTAATTTTGATATCTTTCTGCGATTGCCTGTCTATTTGTTCTGACATTGTGAGCTTCCGCGGCCTAAGCCATGTCCTAATTCAGCCATCCAATTATAAATTAAGTCCTGAATGTGAAGATGCTTTGTAATTGTAATCTCCATAGTCCACGACCATACCTCATCATGGCTTATCTTATATTTCCCATATGAGCTGTGTCGCTAAGTCAAACTCCAACATTGTAAAATGTTCATACTTTATATATAGTTTATAGTTTATACACTCAATTACTCTTGCTGTCCACATACGTCTACAATATGTGTCGGCTTCGTTGTCCTTTGGATATTCACAGCAAAATAATCAATTGGGTCATTTAATTAGTGACAAAAATGAAGTTGGTCAGCTTTATAATTGAACCAATGTTTTCTAGTCTTTTTTTTTTCTTTTTTCTTTTTTCTTTTCTTGCGTGAAATCAAAATTGATGTCTATGTTTCTGGGACAATTGAAGCAGTCTTGTTTTAACAATAAACAAATAATTAAACTTGTTTTGTTATAATAAACGTTTAGTCTATAGGAGCAAATATTCGCTTCCGGGATAGAGGCTAGGGTGGCACCATAATTCTTGTTAGAATAAAACTGTTCAATAAACACGCTTGTGTGGAAGGACTATTCACGGAATCTGTTTTATTTATTTTTGTACATTTTATTTATTAAAAATTTAACTGACCAATAGTAACAGATGGTAATAATAAGAGGCAGCCAATAGGTATGTTAAACCATGCATTTTGATAATCAAAGGCAGACAGTAGTTGAGACAAATCTAATCCAGAATCACTTGGACACTTTGTTGTTTATTTGTCTCACAAGTTGCTTAGCTGGGATTTCTGTGAGATGGTTGAATATATATGGGAACTAATTTTAGTAATTGCGGTCACTGGTCCCCCAGTTATTCTGCAGCAGAGAGGACTGCATAAGAAAGGAATTTTGTGGCATTATCGTCAATGGGAATATGTGATGTTAATCCTGGTAGGCCATACCTAAAGTTAAGCTTATTATTTAGGTCCAATGCATAGTGGCATAAATGAGAGATTAAAGGACTATAAGTATAACCCTCCTTTAAAAGAAGAAACAATTGTCTGCAATTTTCTTCTAATTTGTCTGGGAAATCATTGATTACTATTATCCAAAAAGTTTAATGGTTATGTATTAACATTTACACCGATAACCAATCATAAATTATCCTCGGTATGAATTTTTAATTATTTATTTGTAAAAGTCAACAAACTTTTTATATATAATGATTTGTGGTTGAATGACAATGTAAAATTTAGTATATAACTAATTTTTTTTGTACTAAGATAAACTAAACAAAATACTTGTCCTTACTATGAGCCCTCTTGTACATCAACACTGTTCTAGCAATGAATCATAAATAGCCTCCTATATTGAAAGCCATAGGGTAAAATACTTCAGTGTACTTTCCAAATTCAAAAGTCAAATGCATAGCATAGCCAACAAATTTAAAGTAAACATGGAGTTTAATGTATTATTGAAATTCATGACTTGAATTTTCAAGCACTAACCAAAATACAAGCAGTACAAAACAATTGGTAGCAACCATGACATTTCAATTGGTATTCTATTGCTTCCATGTCTCGATATGATTGCAACAGGTTTTGTGAAAAAATGTCTGTGGTATTCTTATTGTTTATTGACTACACAAAGTGGAAGTATAATTTGGTTTTAGAAATTATTAATTTTCTTATAAAATTTTCTAGAACGGCTACCAACTAGGATATGTTCTGCAAAGCCTATCTTATCATGTAGGGTGGTTTAATAACAATTAGTACTATCATTTTAACGATAGTAAATGATGCAATCCAAGTAAAGCAAAATGTGTGATTTGAAAAGCTTAAATGCTTGTAAGTTATAATATTGATGGGAAGTTTGTGAAGTAAATTTCATAGAGATCTTTTTAGATGATAATAATGGGCATTTGAAATGGAAGGAGACATAATCCTCTTGCCCTTGAAAAATGGAGATGCCTCTGCAATGCATTATCCTAAAAACCAGCATTTCCAAATCTAATCCTACAACAGACAACTAATTGACAAGAAAGAGCAGCGGTTACAATTCATAATCTCATGATACTTGTCCATCTTTGCTTGGTATAATTGAATTAGTTTGCTAATGGGAAATATTTGATTAAAATAAGCAACATGAAACTGTAGAAATAGAAATAGTTGTAACCACTTTCAAGTTAAGCTTACC